TTGTCTCTGCACACTTTTGAATCACAAAAGTTGTTATTTCTCATTGAATCTGCACATCCTTCTCCTTAACCGTCTTCGTAATATAACTGTGGATGTCTTCTTACTCCCACCACCCACGCCCCCCCCCCCTCCCCGGGACCATATTTTGTTTCTTATCGCTTTAAATCTTGTTTAATTCTTCTTTTCCGTCTTATCCTTCTCATGCTGCTGGTGCCGCCGCCTTGCTGCTGCTACTGCTGCTGCTTCTTCTTCTTCTTCTTCTTCTTCTTCTTCTTCTTCTTCTTCTTCTTCTTCTTCTTCTTCTTCTTCTTCTTCTTCTTCTTCTTCTTCTTCTTCTTCTTCTTTGCTTTTGGTTCCGTATTTTCAGATATTGTCTGGTGTGTTGGCTTTTTGAATTAGTTTTTCAGTTGCAAGTCTCTTGTGGTTCCCCATAGCTTGCTCTGCGCATGTCTTGTAATATGAAGTCACATTTGGCAAGTATCCAAATAAGTTTACTCATTTTGGTGGAACATGAAAGAACGAAGGTTCAATTAAGCATTACTTGAAATTCTTTACAACTGGGCAAGCAGTCCCTTACATCAACAGTTATACTCAGTATGAAAAATAAGAGTTCGTGATGTAAATGCTGCTATTAATACCTTATAGTCTTTCGTTGGGCTGGTCGCCTAACCCGCATGCCAGACTATCGCCTCCCAAAGAGAGTGTTTTATGGCGAGCTCCAGCAAGAGAAGAGGTGCCATTGAGGACAGAAAAAGTACTATAAGGACACTCTGAAGACTGCTCTTAACTCTTTTAGCATCAACACAGCGATGTGGGAGGCTGCTGCCCAAGACCGTTCTGGATGGCGTACGTCCTTCGGAAATGGTACATCCGCCTGTCAGGCAGCAGAGGCTGCAGAGCCAGAGAAACGGAGGCTGACTAGAAAGAATCGTACTGCTAATCCCACACCTACTGCGGCTTCCTTCTGTTGTCCGCACTGCTCAAGAACTTTCCTGGCTCATATTGGACTAATCAGCCACATTCGTACTCATGATAATTAATCATTACTACTTTGGATGAAAGCGATCTTCATCACTCGTGATAGACGAACAACAACAACATAGTCTTTCAAAATGACGGTGTTAAATTGTGCTATATATGAGGCATGGAAATCAAAGTCCCTGCAATGTTGAACGTGACAAGCAAGACCCGCTTGGGTTTAAAGTCTTCCACAATTAGAGCATGAGATTTGCAGGACCATTCTAGCCATAGTACAGGTATGTGTTTAACGTGTTTCTGTTTAAAAGCTCAAATCTTATTCTGCCTGTAAACATTTTCTTCCTTATCCCTTTTCCCTTCCTGAGGTCCCCTTCCATTTTCATGCAACACTGTATCTGACCTTCTGTTCCCATGAATTTACAATATCTTCGTCATTTATGTCCCGGCTGCACGAATCTTTTTATCGTAGTAGAGGCCGACCTAGATTTCTTCTGCCCATTTATAATTTACCATAGAGGATGTCCCTAGGGACTCGACCAGCCAAGTGTGTCTCAGCCATTTGAGCCTTCTGAAACTTCCTAAGGGCTACTGCTACATCAGACTTCAAATAAATGTTATATTTATTATAAATGCAGCATTTTCTACCTTTCATTCCTTAAATGTACTGTGACTTGACATCTGCTGTCACCAGAAAAACTTATCGCAAATTTACCAGACAGACATGAAGACCATGTCAGAATATAACAGAAATTAAACCAGAAGTGAAAAAATGCCTAAACTTGGTAACAATACATTTTTCCTACAAAACACACGCACACACACACGCGCACGCACGCACACACACACACACACACACACACACACACACACACACACAAACACACACACACACACACGGGCGCGCGGGCACAGAAATACCTGCCCACGATGTTTGATAATTTTAAATCACTTACAATCAAATCAATGTACAATCTACACATTCTTTACACTACAATGGGTTGCTAATACAGTGCTATCTGGCGGAGCCTGACTTTTTCTTTTCAAAAATGAACTTGGCGCCCACGTCGACCCAACCTTAAATGGGTACCAGATACAGTCCTGGGACTGTCCACCTCGCCCACCGAGTGCCTACTGGTATATCAAATTCAGGTCATGCCATATAGTCTAAATACGTCTGAAGACGTGAAAATGGCTCCTTTGCTTGTTTATTCATTCAGTGCCCGACTATCTCCAGAATTTCAAGCTGGAGACGGTCGTGATTCTGTGGCTTCGGCGTAGTATGCCGAGGTTGGTTGGGAGGTTGTATGCATTTGTGTGTACGCAGGCAGTCAATGTAAGGATGATCACATGGGATGCTGAAACTGTTCCTTATAACACTTTAAATACGGTGTGCGTATTTATATCGGATAAACAGACGATGGAGTATATATATATTTAAAACAACTACAAGCATTATGTACAATCATAGAACAATCGCGAAGTAAAACGTCCACAATGAAACTAACAAGCGAATTGTATCACATTGTATAGCAATGAATGATGCGAATATAATACATTAATGACAAATGATAAATTATTTAAGTATAAAAACAATGATGGCAATAAAAAACGCAAATAATATAAATATAAATATATTTAAATATGTGCATGTGTATGTATGTTTGTGAGTTTGTGTGTATGTGTGTGTGTATGTATGTGTGTGTGTGTGTTGATCAGGTGCACATTTTATTCAATGTTTAATTGACTTTTCTGTAGACACCATTTAAGAGTTTACTCTTTTTAAAGCTGATGGTGTCGAGAATACACCAGTTCAAAAGTTGTACATTGATTACATGAGCATACTGATTGACTGATAGGTCTATTGACTGAATGACTGACTAGAATCAACTCCCTCAAGACGCACCGACGCGACGCGAGCTTTGCATTTTTGAGTAGAGTAGAGGTATAGGATTGATTGATTATGGTTTACATCACAGATATAGATTATACATGTTAACACCTCCCCCCCCCCCTCTCTTTTTTCTATGATATATATATATATATATATATATATATATATATATATATATATATATATATATATATATATATATATGTGTATATAGATGTGTGTGTGTGTGAGTGTGTGTGTGTGTGTGTGTGTGTATGTGTGTGTGTGATTGTGTGTATAGACAGAAAGAGAGAGAGAGAGAGAAGGTGTACTTTTATTCGTCTATTCATAGGACCGCATCTCCTCGTGCAGTCATTAATACATGTATTGGTGCTTTCTGTTAGGCGAGTTAGGTAGTCGCAACCCAGAAAGCTGTGGAGGAAAAAATGGTTGGGGAAAGAGGTGGGGGAAGTGCTCAGCCCTTTTATAGTTGTCTAGGGGCGGGATGGGACCTCAAATGGCTTATGCCATGTTTAATTCTGTAATAATAATAATAATTTTGAAAACTCACCACTGTCTATATTTACCACATTATAGGGCGGTGCACACAGGGGATCGTGAGCCTGGTGTTTAGGGCCGTATCGCTAGAGCCGTCGCCTACGGAATGTGCATGTCGAGATGTTTACTTTTGCTCAGGAAGGAAAAAGTCAATCTTCTTACACGAGGTCGAACCTGGGTCTTCCGCATGAGAGCACTTCATGGTAACCACTCGGCCAATCGCAACCTCTATTTGTAATCATAATTGCCATTATTATTATTATTGTGTACCAAATGGCAAATAAATATTATTATATTTAAAAAAAATATGATGTATATCCACAGATGCTTAAAAAAAGAGTACTTCTGTGCCACAGACTACGAGGAGAGTAGAGACAGAATCTACCATATTTCATGGAAGTTGTTGTTTGTAACTCTTTACAGACTGGATTTTAGTGTAAGTGTAGTGGACCAGTATATATTTCCCATCTCCATGCAGAGACGCAGGATTTCGCACAATATTCTCCTATACATTATTCTATGAGTGACGATTTATGCGTGTTTTTGTTTTTGTTTATAATATATGTTCTTCTGCCTTATTCCAAAGATGTAACTACGTTGTGTCCGTTTACAGCATGGCTGTGATGTTTGCGCCTTTTGGCCGACACATCCGACTTCTGCAGGCATTTGTTGACGGGGTTAGCTTTCCCGGATTTATCATATATAACATCTCAGATTTCAGCACTTTTTCATGTCTTGGCTATTGTTGATAGTACAGTCAGGTGGGCTCTTTAGAAAAAAAAAAAAAAACAACAAACAACAACAACGCACATTTAGATTTTACTCCTGCACAGCTTGGATCTTAGTGTAAATGTATGATATATATGGTTTATATGGTGCATCCTAGCTCAGTGTGCAGTGAACATTCATGTAGAACCTACTTTCGTAAGTACCCCCTTATTTTGCAGACGCTATACTTACTGAATACAGAGTCATTGTGTTTTCATGCAGAGCTCTAGTCATATTTTACGCGGTTTAATATTCACATATGTATCACAAAAGATTATATTCAGTCATATTTTAGGTCGGTTGATGTTTAATTTCGCTACATAGGTTGATATTTAGCCACAAATCCACTGGGATTATATTCAGTCATATTTTACAAGAGCTGACGTTGAGACATATATAAACCTAGATGATATTCAGTATCTTGTCACGTTGATGTTCAGACATATATATCAGGGATGGTGTTATATTTAACTATAAATTAAGTTGATGTCACATAGAATGATGTTTAGTCATTTGTTACAATTATTTATATTTGTCACATGTGTTGATTTTGAGTCATACACGAGGGTTATTCCAAAATCAACCTCCGAAGGCTGGTTTAAAAAAAGGTATGTCACAGCAACACCGCTCATTGCTTTCATCATTCAGTAGTCTCTTAGCTCACCCACAGTCGAATTTGTTAAGTGATTCAAGAATCGCGAAGGAATGAGCATGGACACTTGCTGTCTTTAGCGTCAGCTGTGCTGTGAAATTCATGGGATAATATTCAGTTATATATAACGTAGATGGATTTTAAGTCCTGAAGTGAAGTGAACATTTATCTCCATCAGCACATCGACTGAGAGTGCAGCAATGACATATTCGTAGGACTCGACCTTCTGTTGGTGCTGTGCAAACTGTGCATTGCAGAGTTGGACTCCAGACTGCTGTACCGCACACGCCGACAGCAACAGAATAAGTATCTGTTGTAGTATTTCCTGAATTGCCCGCTAAGAAAATACAAAGCAAAAGGATTCACACATGAGTTGATGAACTGCAGACAAAAGCCTGTGATCTTAAAGACATGCCAAAATTCGTTGAAATCAGAAGTGTCGAAATAGTACCACAACTGGAAAATGTGGCGGGGTAGCCAACATATTATGAAAATAATGACAAAACTGAGGACCACACGTGCGACCTTCTTTCTGGCGGCGATCTGGCGGTGATGGTTGGCTGCTCCAGTTTTAGATTCCGTAGGGACGTTTTCATTACTCCGGATCAACATACGAGCCATCATGACGTAGAAGAACCCGATGATCAAGAGTGGCAGAAGAAAAAAGATCACAAACCGCGTTGCGTAAGCGATCTGTGAGTACAGTGGGCCCATGCTTGTGGGAATGTTCGCGCAAAATGTATGTGTAACATTGAAAAGCTCAACAGTATCTTCAGTACTGACCACAGCATCGTGTATGGCCAGAAGAGCTGACAGAAGCCAGATGGCTAGAGCAATACCAATTGTGGTCCGTTGAGTGCAGCCTGTGAGTTTGGCCATAGGGTTGACGATTGCCACGTATCTATCAGCACTAAGCGCTGTTAACGTGAAAACGGACACTCCTAAAGACAACGTCTGCATATACTGGTCCAGTTTACACCCCACGATTCCAAACGGCCAGCCGACAAATGTATACAGGACTGACGTCATTGGCACGGACACAAGGATCAGTAGAAAATCGCCCAATGACAAGCTTGCAATCAGGATGTTGGGGACATTTCTCATCACCTGCAAATGACAATAACAAATAATATAGATGCTTGCATTGATCTCAGTGTAATGCAGATAATGAAAACGTTACAATATGGTTCAACCAGTCAGTTTAGAAGTCTTTGTCCCTGAAAGTGGTGGATTTGTTTCGTCCTTCGATTCACCGATGTATGTTTTCGGAGATTCTTGGAGGTCACGGCTAAAGATACGGATGGCTCTTTCAGCAGACTTCTTCTTCTTAGCGGTTACCTACTGTGGAATCGGGCTGAAAGTCTGGTTGTTCATCCACTTCTGGACTTTGGTCTTATTCGAGAGCTTGAGTTTTGCACGCCCATTCACCTTACAGATCTTGAATAATTTCCATTTTAAATGCCAATGCACAAGACGAAGAAGAAACATCTCATTGTGAGTTTATTGTTTACACCACATACGAAATGTATTTCTTATAATCTTCGCCGCAAGGAACAATGCTACACCAACGGCTAGCAAGCTGACCTCTGCCCCTGGTGGTCAAAAGTTTCAATTTCCATCCATTCGGATTTGAACTCATACAAAACCAATCAACGTACCATACGTTTATTGTTAACCCTCTACGTGTTATGTCTTTCTTTACTGCTTGTTTGTCATTTTATTAGTAGTAAATTATTTAACTCTTTATTATTCATTCCCTAATTTCTTTTACTCAAGATGCTTACTGTTTAAGCACAAGTGACGTATAATTCATTACTTCAGAACAATATACCAAGGCTTTCATCCTGTCTCTTCAAAACCTGACACTGAAAGACAATACACGACTAGAAAAGAAGAAAAGGTGAAGTTTTAAAAAACAACATGTCCTGGCATCAAAGGATTTAAAATAATAATCACCACGTCTCACAGGTCGCATCGACTCATTTAAAATGTGCACGGGAGGGGGGGGGGCATGTTTTAGAAAGTAACGTCAGTTACAATGATAAGATTACTTTGACATTTTAAATATCATTGTTATTTATCCAGGCGAGTTGTGACAGGGCAAAACAAAGCTCTAGGATTGGACTTGTTTCTGTAACATGGGCGCTCTTGCTTCCAAAATGACAGTAAACTGTTACGTGTGTGTCCAGTAATGGCGGTGCTGGTGATGTTATAATGGATATGCTGATTATGCTTCTACTGCTGCTTCCGTCGCAGCAACCGCACCACCACGACAACTACTGCCACTAACATTACTACTACAACGAATACTTCTACTACTATTGCTACGTATATTGCTGTTACTACTATCACTGCTGCGAATACCTTGAGTGTGTGGGGGAGGGATGTTGTCTTCGCTTCTTAAGCCCGCCCCTTTCGACCCCCAGCCACATTAATATTATACGGGAAGGGGCTCTCAAGCTTTGTTTTACTCCCATAGTAATAACAAACCTATTATTATTATTGCGCTACTAAACAAGACCTGATCTCATTGAGGTAACCCCGCTCCTAGAATATGGCTTTAGACGTGTTTAATTTTTTAACTTTTGTTGTTGTTTTTATTATTATTATGTACTGACTAGCCGCCAACAAATTATATATTTGATATGAATTGACAATGCTGAAAAAGAGCCTCAATATTTAGTGGGGAAGGTGGTGGAAGAAGTGGTATCTCACCCCTAACAAAATATTGGAGGGGTGGTGGGAGAACGGCTTAGCCCCCCTCCAAAACAGTCTTTTTGGCGCTCAGAGTGATTTCCACGTCTATACAGTTACTACTGACTGACTGACTTTCTACCCCACTAGGACATCACCCACGCGATCAACACCCGATGACACAATGTGCCACCATGCAGATGAGGATCACCGTGGAGAGGTCCCAGAAACCGCGTTCAGCCATAAGGCCATATTTATGGCCGGGCTATATTGCGGCCCCTGGCAAGAGCCAGGGTGGGGCTTCAAAATAACGAAACATTACATCTCACAAGAAGATGGCTATGTGAAATTAGAGTTACTACTACTAACAATAAATAATTAACTGTTAGGACTGTTAAAACTCCGAGATTCCGTTAAAAAAATATAACATCATTTTGTGTAGCATATTTATTACTGCTATGTGATATCATGGCAAACTACTGGACGTAAATTTGCATAGAGAAACCACACAACAGCCAGGGGCTGCTGGGGTTGGCTCTGCAACGTCCTGTAAAGGATACGCAACTAATCTATGTGATATCATTATTATGCAGTTTCGTAAAACGCTTTGGTTCTATTTATCGTACACCTGCATCACTTTGGGTATCCTATGCATTGTATGATAGCACTATGTTCTGTAAATTTTTAAACTGATTCCCGCTGTTTCTGGAAGTCAAACAGAGCTAGTATTAACACTTTGGATGTTTTACTTCCCCTTCGGAACACTTCATTGCGCCAAGGGAATCATATTTTTTACTAATGTATATTGCAAACTTCTCTTTGAAGACTATTTATTGTCCCTGGAACATGAAGGTCTTGGCGATTATCTTGCAGTAATGTTGCATTATTAGACTAAGAAACGAAAACCTGTGAGTCAGTTCTATGAAGGTTGGACCAGTAATTTTCAAACTGTACCCCTTTGGAGGGGGCTAAGCCGTTCTCCCACCACCCCTCAAATATTTTGCTCGGTGCCCCGGGGAGCCACGATCTCTTCACAGGTGCGCTGCGAAATTTTCGAAGATACACGAGTTTTTTTTTTTTTTTTTAAATCTCTTACAAACGAATAGTCATACTTTCACTTAGGTTAGGGCGCCGTGGAAAGATTTAAATGGAAAAAAGGCGCCGCGACTAAAAAAAGTTTTGGAAACACTGTGTTAGACAGTAATTAAATGGGTAGAAATATATATACACAAAATAAATAGAATAGATAGTAACCGGGAGGGGGGGGGGGGGGGGGGTTACACATACAAATTTGAGGTGCTCAGTCTTGTGCACATTGTCACGAGGGGTGGGGGGGGTGGGGGGGGGGGTGATGGCTTTGAAAGTCTGTCTTGTTTAAAGTCATAATTTTAATGATGGTAATAAGTACGGAGTAAACCGTAACCGATCCTTTCCACACCTTTGGGGAAAATAATGGTAACAGTAATAATAATAAAAAGTATTATTGTTACTATTATTATTATTATTATTATTATTATTATTATTATTATTATTATTATTATTATTATTATTATTATGTGCTGGGTGGCATTCAATATGAAAAAACATGAAATGTATCACAAAATATTCAACAAGAGGAAATGAGTAGGCCGGGGTCGCTTAGCCTCCACTATAAATTAGGACTGGGTGGGAGAGGGATGGAGCCAGGCGCCTAAGCTTTCTTAAAATTTTCTGCGGGTGGGGGGGGGGGGGAAGGGGGGTGGTAACTTGGGGTGTGGGTTTAAGACGTCCAAGCTCCCATGTTTCGGCATCACTGGGTATAAAGTAGAAAGGTGACACATTAATGGCACATCAAAGGAACAGACAAGCCGGTAAATCAGAAGACAGCAGGAACGAGACTCAGAAATAACAACAACAGAGGATGTAAACCAAGAAGTAGATAGCTTTAGACATGGCACCCACTCAGTTTTATAAAGAGACTTGGTGTTCTAAATGTAGCCGAATACTGTGGTTGACACACGGTATCCATCAAGTTAGTTCATAAAGCATATACTGTTATCATATGTTTCTGTTCAAGCGGTTTGTTGTTTTCAGTCTGTTGCCAGTATTCAATTTTCGTTGATGGTTTTATTTCATTGCTGTAGCAATGCTGAACGATTATTTTCTACTGCGTAATTCGTTCTATCGTTGTCATCATCATCATCATCATCATCATCATCATCATCATCATCATCATACTCTGTAGAGCAGCGGTTCTCAACCTGCCAGTCGCAACCCTTTGTTGAGGTCGAACGACCCTTTCACAGGAGTCGCCTAAGACTATCAGGAAAAAACATATTCATTGAAACTATGGAAACAATAACTGTTTGGGGGTCGCCACAACATAAGAGAATTTTATTAAAGGGTCTCGGCATTAGGGTTGAAAGCCATTGCTGTAGAGGGTTGTTATTTCTACTGCTTTATTTGCTTTGTTATCACCGTCATAATATAGTGCAATATAATAAATAGAAAATGATAGGACAACTTATTTCGAGCTGCGTAAAGAGATAAAGGGAGGAGGAGGAGGAGGAAGAAGAAGAAGAAGAAGAAGAAGAAGAAGAAGAAGAAGAAGAAGAAGAAGAAGAAAGAAGAAGAAGAAGAGAAGAAGAAGAAGAAGAAGAAGAAGAAGAAGAAGAAGAAAGAAGAAGAAGAAGAAAGAAGAAGAAGAAGAAGAAGAAGAAGAAGAAGAAGAAGAAGAAGAAGAAGAAGAAGAAGAAGAAGAAGAAGAAGAAGAAGAAGAAGAAGAAGAAGAAGAAGAAGAAGAAGAAGAAGAAGAAGAAGAAGAAGAAGAAGAAGAAGAAGAGAAGAAGAAGAAGAAGAAGAAGAAGAAGAAGAAGAAGAAGAAGAAGAAGAAGAAGAAGAAGAAGAAGAAGAAGAAGAAGAAGAAGAAGAAGAAGAAGAAGAAGAAGAAGAAGAAGAAGAAGAAGAAGAAGAAGAAGAAGAAGAAGAAGAAGAAGAAGAAGAAGAAGAAGAAGAAGAAGAAGAAGAAGAAGAAGAAGAAGAAGAAGAAGAAGAAGAAGAAGAAGAAGAAGAAAGAAGAAGAAGAAGAAGAAGAAGAAGAAGAAGAAGAAGAAGAAGAAGAAGAAGAAGAAGAAGAAGAAGAAGAAGAAGAGAAGAAGAAGAAGAAGAAGAAGAAGAAGAAGAAGAAGAAGAAGAAGAAGAAGAAGAAGAAGAAGAAGAAGAAGAAAGAAGAAGAAGAAGAAGAAGAAGAAGAAGAAGAAGAAGAAGAAGAAGAAGAAGAAGAAAAATAAGAAGAAGAAGAAGAAGAAGAAGAAGAAGAAGAAGAAGAAGAAGAAGAAGAAGAAGAAGAAGAAGAAGAAGAAGAAGAAGAAGAAGAAGAAGAAGAAGAAGAAGAAGAAGAAGAAGAAGAAGAAAGAGGAGGAGGGGGAAAAGTC